ATTCTGTTATGTTTTTTTTTTTTTTTTTTTACCAAAACGACAGAGTGACTATTATATAACTCAAGGGGACAAAGTCCGAATACAATATTTAGAGTACAAATAGATAGAATCATAAAGACTAAAATGGGAGACACACCCTAAGGTGGTCTAGAGCCTCAACAAGAGGAAACACTACAAAATAGCAACAAAACCAACAAGAATCAGCTCCCCTCTACTGCTAAAAGCCTAGAGGAAGACTGATTTCTACAACCAACTAAGAACCAGAATAGAGAAAAAGAAATCAACTACACTAGAAAGCATGGTGGGAAGATGAGAACTGGAGCCATTCAGAGTGAGCAATCTTCAGTAACTGGGCTTCAGGCATGAGATTGTTCTGAAAGATCCACAAGTTCCTTGATTTCCAAAGCCACCAAAGGATGTAAGTTGATAATTGTATCCTATCTTCGGTTGCTTTAGAATGATCAAGAGAGCAGATGTCAAGCCACCAATATCTAAATTTGTTCCTGCTGCCTTTGACACCTTCCCATCTTACAGGAGAGAGGTCCCAGGTTTTGCAAGCTCTTGGGCAAGTTAGAAGGACATGTTCAGAAGTTTCAGCTGATTCACCACAGATGCTGCATATGGCCTCAATGTCAACTCTTTTCTTCCTCAATAGAACTGCCACAGGTAATGTTTCAGTTATGCATTTCCATAAGAAATGTTTGATTCTCCCTGCCACCTTTAGGTTCCAGTGTCTGAATTGGACAGACTTATGAATGAGCTGATGAGAACTGCTCTCTGGAATGTCCAGCTGCCTTAGTTTGAGATTGGAGAGGCATTTGTAAGTGCTAGAAACTGAGAATTGCCCTTTAGCCTCTAGACCCCAGTGAAACCTGTCTTCTCTGTCAGGATGAAGAGTGGAGATATTCAGAATTGCAGCACTATCACTGGAGTCAAAAACTTGTTTCACTAACCATTCATTCCAGGTATGGCCACTTGAATTTAAGAGCTCATGAACCCATATAAGATGGCCTCTGGCTATTGGAATTAATGCAGGAGCAGTGTGTGGCAATGATGGCACCCAATTTAAGTCAGCAATCCTTGTGGTCTTACCATTCCTAATTTCTGTTTTCAGCCATTTAGAAAAGAAAGGGAGAACCTCCAACCAAGAGTTCCACATCCAAGACCCCTTAATTCCAATAGCCAGTGTGTGGTAATGTTTAAAATATGATCATTGATAAAAATAAATAGTACATAACAATTCGATTGCATATGAATCATTATATTGGTTGCATAAATGTCATAAATAACGTAATTTTCGTAAATTTTAGGGAACAAGAATAATTAATTAGCTGAAAAATATTAAATTTATAATAACAATTACTTATACGATTTTAAGGAATTTTACTATGACACTAATACAAATTAATTTATTTGGAAAATAATACTTTAATCAAATAAGAAAATATATAATATTGATTTTAGAATAAATAACTTGAACAAAAAAAAATTTACAATATATTTTTGATTTCTGAGAGAAATCAAAAACTCCACCGGCACTTCTTTCCAATCAATTTCCTGAGGTGATGATGAGATGATTACCGGCGTTGACCGGTCAACAACAATTAGTTAATTTATTTATTATATTAGTATTTTAAATATAATAATTAATATTTTTATTATTTAAATGTATATTCTAATTGATTAATACTTCCTCAGCCTGGATACGTGGAAGACATTATGTACGCCCAAGAGTTCTGAGGGCAACGCCAGACGGAATGCAGTCACGCCAACTCGTTCGAGAATCTCAAACGGCCCTATGAATCGGGGCTATAATTTCTCCCTTTTCCCGAAGCGTACAACGCCCTTCATCGGCGAGACCTTCAGGAACACTTTGTCTCCTGCCTCAAACTCAAGCTCCCTTCTACGCTTATTAGCGTAGGCTGTCTGTCTGCTCTTCGCCTCTCTCAGCTTCGCTCGGATCTCAACGACCTTCTGCACTGTGTCCTCGATCAACTTGGGACCGAGAACCTGCTTTTCGCTGACTTCATCCCAATAAAGGGGTGAGCGGCACTTGCGCCCATACAAAGCTTCATACGGCGCCATCTTAATCGACGAGTCGGAGGCCACTTGGGAGAGAGAGAACGAGATCAGAGCTCGATATCCAGACTTCGAGTTTTGAGTTGTTCTGATGTATATATGTACTCGTATGTTAGTATATTTGTATATGGTTTTGTAGTAGGAGTTCTGGTCTTGTACCCTAGTTTTGTATTTCCGCGGTCGAAAATATTTTAAGGAGGATAGATTGTAACGCCCCGTTCAGTTAATAAAAATAATAACCGTTTCACTTGCTCGACTATAAAGTGAAATTGGTATTGTTCGAACTATTTTCAAGTTGTTCGACTAAGTATTAATAAGTGATTTATGTGATTATATATGTGTTTATATGCATGATTATATTTAGGAATGCTAGTTATCTAAATTATGTGGTTCGTTACCGTTCGTTCGTGCCGAATCGCTTGAGCCGAGCCAACGCCTTAGCCATCTTTAGCCTACATCTTTTTGCAATCCTAAGACCTTGAGTGTGTATTAGGGGACGATTAAATGTTTTATATGGCTAAGTTAAGGCTAAGAGTGATTATTTAAGTGAAAGCTTCATTAGTAATATTTTAAGCCTTAAAGCTAGTATGAACTTTCCTTGTTTGTTTCTTGTGAAAATCTTGTCCCCTCCACTCATCTAATGCTCTCGGCCAACACATCCTCCAGCTCCATAAATCACTTTCTTTTCCACTCACTCACATGCAAAGGTGCATGTCAAGACAACCATAATGTGGAAGGTAGGCCACTCCTTTTGTCTTCCACTCTTCTCTTCAAGTTGAGCCCCTTTGATGTGCTTATTAAATCTATTTCATCAGCCATTATTTCATCTCTATTTCATCAACATTCCACTCACCTAAAGACTTAGAAAAAACTCAGCAACAACCTCCCTTCAAGAGAGAAAGCCGTGAGCAAAAACAAGCACCATTGAGAGTGCTTTTTTTTTTTGTGCAGTTTGGAGTGAATTCGAGTTCTAACCAGCCATTCTTTATAGAACCAGCAAGATAACCTTCCCTTATCATCCTCCTTTCACCCTAGAAGACATTAAGTTCACCAAGTTCCAAGGAAGAGAGCAAAAAAGCAGCAACTACACCAAGTTCGAACAAGAAGAGCAACACCGGACTACATCTCTTTCATTTCTTCATTTTAGTTTTCTTTGAAGAAGGTAAGGTGCTATTCTCATTAGTATGTTTTTTAGCTGAGTTTAGGTGTTTAATGATGTATGTTAATGCTCCATAGGTTCAATTTTTAAGTGGTTTAAAGTATGCTTAATGTTAAGTACTTCCAGTTTTTCTTACATGTTCTATATGCTATGTTATCGTACATTTTTTCCTATGCTCTGAAAAATCTGGGATTGTGCGAATTTTATGGCTATTTTTTGTGTAAAAGAGGAGTTCATAGGACCAAGAATGAATTCAATTGGCCTAGTATAACTTGGGTTATTGATTTTTAAAGTTAGATGTGCAAATTGAACTTTCTATGCGCGAATTCTTGTGTAAAAGAGGAGTTCATGAAATTGAACTTTCAAGTTAGAGTTAATTTTTCGCTTTTATTTTCGAAATGTCGTGTGAGTTTATTTTCGAAAATACTTACTTAATTGCGGGATGCTACTAAAACTTACTTAACTTACTATTTCGGATATAAATAAAACATACAACCCATCGAGCCACTACGGCGATAGTGAAAACATACATACAGTCCGAGAGTCTCGCACATATAGTCTAGCAGAAGCGTAACGGAATATCATGCATATTACATAAACATACATAAATAATGGTTCATGGATATAGGACATAAAATGGAGGGTAATAATGTCCTCGGCTCATGACCACGCTAGCCACGTACGCTCACCCGGCACGCTGGACGCCATCACCTGAAAAACATAATGGGGGCGTGAGCAAACCACTATGCTCCGCAAAGACCAGTATTGAATAAAACAGCATCAATAATAACATATCATGACTAG